TAGCATGTGTAAGGCTCTGGGTTCAATCCCCAGTACAACAGCATAAATCAATTAGGAATATCTGTAGGCTTTTCTAAAATTCTAAGGCACTTTTAAGGAGAAGAAAACAGAATAGGCAAGCAAATATGTAAATATTCTCACTTAGACATCCCACATGTCTAAGACTTCCTGCACTGAGACAGTTTTGCTAAAGCTCCTGCCCCACTTACTAAAATGTGGCCGCCTGCTGTCTAGGGATCCCACTTGCTGGAGCTAAACCCAGGAAACAGAAAGAGCAGACTCTGCCTTAGTCCTGCCCAGTGCAGTAGAATCTGGTGCCCAGCTACCCAGCTGACGAGAGATGGCCAAGAGCTCCACCCAAGAGCCTCAGGCTCTGAGGGCAGCTCTCGTCCTCTCTCCTTTGATCAGCTCCTACTCTCAGAGCCAGTACAGCAGCCAATGGGCCTTTCCTTTCATCTTCACACAACAACAGTGAACACAGGAATGGCCCCCTGAATCTTTCTTTCTCAAATGGTGTAGCTAGAAAAAAGCAAGACTGAGGTTATGTGATGGCCTACAAAAGTCCTGTGTCAATGCAGGAATACTCAGAGGTAATATGATTGGCTTGTGAGAACTCTAACTTAATCAGTGCATCTTAGTTTGAATGGACCGACTAGGTGGTAACCGTAGGCAGGTGGGACATGGCTAGAGGAGGGGTCACTGACGTCATACCCTGGAAGGGTACATCTTCCCTGCAGACTTTTCTCTTTTTCCTCTCTCTGCTTCCTGCCTGCCATGAGTTGAGCAGCTTTCCTCCGTCACACCCTTCCGCCATGATGTTCTGCCTCAAGTTGAGCCCCCAGCATTAGACTGGACCTACCATGGACTAAACTTCTGGAACCATGAGCCAAAATAAACTTTTCATCCAATAAGTTGTCCTTGCCAGGTATTCCTGTCACAGTGACAGAAAGCTGACTAAGACAACTGACTTTTAGGCTTCATTTATTGAACTCCTGCATGTTAAGAATTGAACGCCGCATGTTTATCTGTTTTTTCAAGCTGAGCTCTATGAATTGGTCAAACAGAGTTTCCAGAAGGAAGAGAAGAAGCATGCTAAGATACCAAGTAAATTTGGGGATTAAGCAAGGTTTTGATGAGTCTCTTAGGCCAGGTCATTGTGTTAAGGTCTGTAAACAAGTCAAGATGGCGCCTGGCATTTTGCAGAGGGAGTGGTTTGTGAAGTAATGCCAGTGAGCCATTAAGTGTGGAGATTCCTTATTGGTTGACTGCTGTATCTAGTTTATGTTAATTAAGATAAGCTGTGTGTAATGTATATATACCCTTCCTGTCCTACAATAAACGGCTCCCACTCCTGCTGTATCAATCTACTCAAGTTGTTCGTCACCCTCCGGTTATTTTGCTGCAGCCGGACTGTGGCATCATTGGACCAAGGTAGGCACTCCCCCCAAATCTCACCCGACCCACGCATCCATAGACATGTCCAGAAATGCCACCTTTGCCACAACTAATGAAGAAAAACTTTCTCTGCTGCATTTACAAGGTAGTTTTGTTTGAAATGATAAGAATCCAACCTCTACAACTAAAAGCATCAAATTTTTTCCTTCAACATACCCTCAATGGGATATCTAAAGCTATTCTAGCAATTTATTGGATTGAATTTGAAGGAGGAGAATTGTTTGAAGATCCTATTAAATCACAAGAGAACTTTCATTTCCATTTTCTAGGACGTTTCCTTTATAGTGATAACGTTCAAAGACATACAGAAAAGCATAGTTAAAAATAAAGTGATATTTTAAACTGTGGCTAGATATAAAAATCCCAGGAGTACAGAGCTCAAAAAAATGGAAAATTATTGCTGTGTGAAGCATTCAACTTTAAATTGCCTTTTAAAGAGACTAGTTTCACCTATGGTACACCACAGTCTTACATAGTCACCCTAAAACAATACAATGTCCAGTAAACATTCATCCTACCCCATACATATGACAAAACCTTTTATAAGTCTTGATTTGTTAATAGAGAATTACAATGAACCTTATATGGGTGCCAAGAAATAGCACCCACTTTGATAGAAAGTTCTAGAACATTTTTTAAATCCATCTATTGTACTTTCAACAGAAACTAAACAGAATGGGGGCAGGGTGGGAAGGAGTTTAGATGCATTACATGGCCACATCTTATTCAGAAACAGACAACTATGAAATGCAGCAGATATTATGGATCTAAAGATGTTCTTTTATTTATCATCAGAATCTTATCCTGAGAGATACCAGTGTCCTTAAAAACACTCATGTAGATCCCCAAAGGAAATGGAAGTGTCCTTCTCCTTAGACAGAAAATTGAAGCCCTCTCCATAGTGTTAAAACCCCTCACACAGCAAAAGTGTCAACAAAATGTATCAGAAAGCTAGAATTAAGGGAGATTTCTAGTTTTCATCTTTTCAACTTCTCTGTATTTTGCAAAATTATTTTCAGTGATCATTTGTAACTTTTAGAGTCTAAAACTAAAACTCCAAAAAGCAAAGTTACAGCATCAAAAAAAATTTTTTTCTTGAAGTTGTACACATCAAAATAAATAGGGAGAGAAGTTCTATCTTTAAATATCACAGATACTACTTCAATCTACCTTGTGGTATGTGCTGGCAATCATCAATCTGCACCCAGCAGTCACAAACACTAAATCTCTGACCATGCCTTAGAAGCCATAGGTGTGGTTCTTAGCTCCTACCAGGTACCCGTCCCCGGGTTGCACCATCTCAGACTCTCTCGAAGCACTGGTTAGAGCCATTAGCAGGCAGCCTGCTCAGGGGCTGCAGCTCATGTTGGAGAGCCCCTCCAAGGGTGCAGCTTCCTAAATGCCAGCTCCATCTCTGCCTTTCCACTGTGCCTAGTCCAACACACCTTTAGTCAAAGCAGTGGAGCAAGCATTCATTCACTTTGGGTGTTTCTAGCTGATGAGCCTGGTCAAGGTCAAGTACATGAAGACATTTGTAAAGCCCTCCTCTTCCTTATCTTCAGGGTTGAGATGGGGAGTCCCTAGTGGGGGAAGATCAGGAAATCTGAAGTTATATCACACACCCATCAGATGAAGAGGAAGGAACAGCGTTTTTTTTGTTGTTGTTGTTGCTCTACAGATAATGGGGCATCTGCTCATTGATATTTCTTTGATAATAAAATGCATCATGATGACTCTAAGGTGTTTCATATGTAACCATCTATACTTTTGCCAATGTGAAGAGAGAGTTTTGGAAAGGAAAATATAAGGGATCTGATTTTTAAAACTCACTTTATTCCGTGAGGTTACCTTGATTCTGGGTAATGGTGTTATTCTCCAAAATAGTCCATAATTAACTAAGTTGTGTTCAAGACTAAAGATACCCTTAGATGGTTTTTACATGGTAGACAAATGGATTGCATCAATTCAACTTTCTAAAAGCACTTTTTTGGCACCTACAGCATTCAGACTCTGGTTACTATGTCCAAAGAATAGACATGAAAACATGGATATTTGGGGGCTGGGGCTATGGCTCAGTGGCAGAGCTCAGTGACAGAGTGCTTGCCTAGCACATGTGAAGCACTGGGTTTGATCCTTAGCAGCACCACATAAAAATAAATAAATAAAATATAAATAAATAAATATTTGTCCATCTACAAAAAAAGGAATATGGATGTTTTCTTTCCCTCCGGGAGTCCTCAGGCTGTGCTAGGAATCGGGGTTCCCTCCAAGGACAGGAAGAAGAAAAGGGGGAGGAGGGGAGAAGTGTTTCTTTTATTCTTTCTATAATGCTTGCTTCTTTACCCAACAGGGGTACAGAAAACTATAACAAAAATATGACCTCGTAAATACTGCGTGGGGAACATGTTTGCTTCCTCCCCCCATATTTATAATATTTCAGCATATTCAAAATATCTTGTAAATAAAATGTTGTCAATTTAGTAAATTATAATCTATATTCATAAACATATTTTACATTATTAAGGACCACCACCCACCAAGGTCCTGTGATCAATATCCAAATTCATCTCATGCTCAAAGAGTGAGACCTGCCTGGGACTTGTCTGGAACTAAGAGTTGGTACCTTTTCAAACACTGAAAAGAAAAACATCTCAAGTTTTTAGACCATCACTTGACATAAATACTGTGTCATTTAAGGACAACAAGATCTATATCAGGATTTTTTTTTAAAGCATTTTTGAAACTTTGTTGGAAATAGCTTGGAAAACATCAGGTTATGTACGAATGGACATTCCTGACCTTTCAGGTGGGTGTTTGTTTTTCTCCTTCTATCTTTTCTTGGTAGAGCGGCAACATAAAATAACTTCCTTGTCCATTCTCTGCTTTTGTTTATTCTGAACATTATATTTCGACATCCCAGTTAGTTGTGTTGAAAAATTCAAGTAACTCCAGCAAGTGATAAGATCTGTAGCTCTGAAGTTAATAAACAAGACTTATGACATACAGCATGGAAGAAATAAGGCAAAGATCAAGCTCTCTTGAAAAAAAAAAAAGTTCCATTAACTTGCCTGTGTAATTTTACAGGTATTGTGTGTATGTGTACATACGTTAAACATACTGTCATACTTGAAACAAACTTTTGCTATGAAAGAAAAAAATTTAAAAAACTAAAAATAACATGAACCCTTCTATGTAAGCATGGTGGTAGGGTACTTTAGAACAAAAAGAATTGGGTGTCAATCAAAAAGAACAGATTAGCTCTGTTACCTTGGCAAATATTGGATAAAGTAATTTGCCTTCCACTCTTTATCTGTAAAACGGTGTTCCCTACTGTAGAAGGTAGATGAGGAGCACAGACATTTTAGGGTTTGTGTTCTTCCCTCTCTCCCTAATTACACACACACACACACACACACACACACACACACACACACCATAGAGATGAAGACAGTTGGTCCCATAGAACTCTGAGAGGAAGTCAGCTGCTGCTCAAGATAAAGGCTGGGGCATAAGAGTGGCAGAGGGTCTCAAGTCAAGCAAACAGCAACCATGAGGCTCCTCCTGCTTGTGGCTCTGCTGGCCACCACCATTGCGATTGCTCCCGTCCACTTCGACAGGTAAAGCCCACCACGCTGCATTCCAGTCTATAGTTCCTTAGCTAGCATTCAGGGTTCTGGTCTTGCCTCCCACAAAGCCACATCTGCATTGCCACCTGATCGCTCTCTCTCAAACCTAACAGTGGCGATTCTTCATTTGAAACTCTTCACTGAGAAGCAGCCTCATATAGGAAGACTTGCTCTTCAGCGCTGAATGTTCCAAACCCAGCTCTGCACTAGTGCTGTGGCCTTTGGCAGTTACTAAGAGAGTCCAAGGGAATGTTGCTCCAGGGCTCACATTTTCATCTTTTGCTTTCTTGAAGGGAGAAGGTGGTCCGTGTGAAGCCCCAGGATGAAAACCAAGTGAGCATCATGAAGAATTTGGCCAAAGACAATGAGGTAAGAAAGAGAGACATTGCACCTTTTCTTTCTGTTTTTTAAAATCCTTCTTTTCTATTTCATTTTTAATGCCCTCGGTGCTACCAAAGATTCCAACATAATGGCAGGTGCTATCTAGATAATTCAGGGATGTTTTTGTTTTCATGGAATACCACTTGACTTGTCCCCAAAAAGCTTTGCAAACAACACCTTTTCCCAGGTAAAATTGTAAAATAAGGAGCAGTTCAGGGCTTCTTTCCCTCCCTGCCGGTGCCTGGTGCTCCCTACTCTCCCTACTCCCAGTCTGATCTCCTTTGGTGGCAAAATTTCCATTAAACTATAAATTGATAATGTTAGAGTACTGGCTGAAATCAAGATGTGACCCTTTCCAAGAGCAGGTGCACTTTAAAAAGAGACTGAAAATCAGATCAGGCCTTCAAAATCGAACAGTTGAACATCACCATTCTAGCAGTTCCTTGCTGCTCTGTATCCAAGGCACCCTGGGCCAGCCATCTTCCATCCGTCATCTCAAATTCTTCAGCAGATTTGCAATGCCAGGGCCCTAATTTGACCCATTTAAAACAGAATAACTAAAGTTCAAGGATGGTAAATAAAATAGTCAAGAAAACCTCAGATTTAAACCCAGAACTAAATCTGGGGTTGACTCTAATCACAAAAACTGTCATCTCCACATCAAATCAATCAAAAATTCCACCTATTCTAGTGGCCAAATGTTCCCCCCATACATGCTTTCCTCTCCATTCCACTACCCCGTCCATGTCCATCCTACCTCTTAGTGGGACAATTTTAATTGTCCCTTAGCTAGCATTCAGGGTTCTGGTCTTGACTCCTACAAAGCCAAGTTTGCATTGCACCCTAACAATGGCGTTTCTTCATTTGAAACTCTTCATTGAGAGGCTGCCTTGTATGGGAAAAACATGCTCTTCAGAGCCAGATTCTTTGGTTCAAATTCTAGCTCTGTGCTAGTTCTGTGGCCTTAGGCAGCTACTCAGCTTGCAGCTCAATTTCCTTACCTGAGAAGGCTAATCATCCTATCTGTTCTGTAAGGTTTTTATCAAGACTAAGTAAGTTTTAGATAGCCCTGAGAAGCAGGCCTGGCCATGATAATCACCACAGAAGCATTTTTCTCTATTTTTTCTCTTGATATTTGTGTGGTATTCAAAGTTGTAGGTGGACACAATACCTTTATTTTATTTGTTTTTATTTTTATGTGGTGCCGGGGACCAAACCCAGTGCCCCATGCATGTTAGGCAAGCGCTCTACCACTGAGACACAATCCAGGTCCCCCAAAGTTCTTTATGATCTATCAAACTGCTGCCCTCTTTAGTCTCTTGCTTGTCCACCCTCTTTCTAGTCCTTCAAGAAATATAGATATCAAAACTTTACCCAGCTGGTATACTTTTTCTCAAGAGCAATGTGTTTCCTCTTTTCCTGGCTGAGTCTTATTGATTCTTTGAGGGGACGGCTCAGCTGAAACCTCCTACAAGAAGTCCTCTCCGTACATCAATTCTCATGACCCAGTCAGATTGTTCCTTCTGCTCCTGGGATACCTGGCTCCTCCTCTGGCAATGGTTAATATGTTGGAAACATGCAAAATGGATCTGTCTCCCACTGAACCTCTTGCTTCTTCAATAATGGCATCCAGCTCTGTGCCTGAGGTTTAAAAATAATTATAAAGTTCACTGAGCTCTAGTCTCTTACTCCATATTGCTTTGCCAGAAGAGATTTGATGGCCCTCCTAACTTGCCTTTAAATCAACTACATCTCTCATATGTCTAACTCATGCTGTCACCTTTTGATCAAAATAAGCAGACATGTTGATTGGTTCACAACAGCCTCGTATGGTCCCGTAATGGACTGACCTAGAGCTATAGTGGAATTCAATTGAGAGACAGCCACACAGCTGTAGTCATGCCACCATCTTGGTGAGACAGATGGAGATGGAGCATTTTCTTCTCATCTCCCAGGCTAGGAACTTGTATTTTCTTTGGATTCATCATGGAGTATGATTTTTGAAGAGCCACAAGAATTGAAATTTTCTCAGAGTTATTTTAACCTATCCTTTTGGGTCCATTCACCAAATCCAATATTCCCACATACGAAAAGATAGAAAAAAGGAAATCAGCACTTATAAATTCCTGTATGTCCCAGACTTTGTATCATTTCACGATACTCACAACACGCCCCAGGGAGCTCTGTTGGCCCCATTTTTCAGGGGAGAGGACTGAAATGTAGGATTTCTGTAACATCCCCAAGAAAGTATAGCTAAAGAATGACAGAACTGGGAGATTCTGTCTCCTTGTTGGATGTTAAGCTTCCAGAAATTTCAGGGTTTATAGGCACATCTGGCTTTGATACCTAACTAGGGGAAGAAAAATAGAGAGTTTTTCATGTAAGTATCCAATTACAGCCATATGCTATGGCCAAATCAATTATGCAACTATCCTATTCAACTCCAAAATGATAGAAGCAAAGAAATTAACCAAAAGAGCTTCCTATTCTTTTTGCATGGGTAGATACAATATCCTGAAACAGAAATGTGTACATACAATTTCTTTCCCACCCCTTAACATTCAACAGTTCTTAAACATGTTTGCAAAAATCTCATTAGCTTATTAAAAGAAGAATCCATACCTTAGTCACTCTGAACCCCAAATTTCTTTTATGGTCATCTCTTAATGAATACATGCTGGGTGGGAAAATAAGCAATGTGACTAACAGCACACTCATCTCTGCAGCTTGACTTCTGGTATCCAGATGCCATCGACCATGTAGCTGCTAACATGACAGTGGATTTCCGAGTTAGTGGGAAAGAATTCCAATCCATCCAGTCTGCCTTGGATCAAAACAGAATGCACTATGAGTAAGTCCTTTGCAAATATTCAAATGTGTTAGATACTCAAAGCTTCAAAAGAGTTGAAATTTTAAGGAAGTATTACAGTGGAACTAGTTGTAAATTGGACCTCCCCCAAAAACAAGCTCATAAAATAAAAGTTCACGGTTACTTCCAAACAGACTACGGAAGCTGCTTGTGGAGATGATACAATCTTTGGCAGCTCACCTTCCAACTTGAATTTGCTGTCATCTGCAAGAATGACAATTACCTACATCTGCCATTTCTAAAACCAGCACCATATTAGCACAGGGCCCAGGAAATCAGGCCTAGGCCATTTAGCCTAGGCCATTATACCACAATGTGTCCTCAGCCCAGGGTTCACAAACTACACATCAACCATGTGCTTGGATTCAAATTCTCCTGATACATATAAGGAAACTAAGAAAAAAAAAGTGTTCATCTAGAAATTCAAATCAGAGATATGGTCATGTAAAATAATATAATAAATAAATTACTCTTTATAAGAGAAATTATTCCTCAAAGAAAACCAAAGCAAAGCAGGAGAATAAAGCTTATATCAAAGACAAGAGGCTCTCAAATAGCCAAAGATGCAGAAATGAGTCATTCTGCCCCACAGAGAAATAAGAGGAAATTAGAATTTATCGAGCAATAACCATGGGCCATGCACAGTCTGGACCCTGGGGCCATGAACAAGAAAGGAACCAGGCAGTGAACGTCACAAATCAATGCATAATTTAACAAAGTGTGTTTTTAGGCTTTCAAACATTCAGCAGTTTGACTTACTGAAAGGTCCCATTTTAACTTCCTCCGGCCTTATCAGCCCAGGATCCTCCCTTACTGAGATTCACTGCCCAAAACTGCTAAGCACCAGCTCTTTCTTTTCCAACTTGCTATTTCATGCCTTCACCTAATTCAGTGCTTTAGTTCAAAAGACCTTCTTCTTCTGGCTGAGATAAAGAAACCCTATTGATGACAGTGAGGTCACATGGCTGAGAGGGATCTACAGCTGCCTATCATGATTTGGTTATATTTATGACAATGCACAATATCACAAATAAATATAGATGCTATTAAAACTAAGGGAAGACATACGTAAGAAAAGACAAAAAGCGTTCTTTTTCACAGTTTTAAGATAGCAGGCGATTATCCGTGATGGTTATTGATCACTGTTTTTGTTTTCACTATTCCTTCAAGAGGAGTGTGATAGAAATGTAGAAGCTAATGAATTGAAACCAGCATTTAATCATTTTAATTAACATATCAAAGTGTGCTTTCTATGTTTTTTAAGTGACACCATTAAAATTGGAAATAGACACTTTAGAGCTAGACCTCCAAGATTCCAGAAATTCCTAGTGCATTCTAGACTACCTGCTTAGCGAGGTTGAGAGGAAGTCTTGATTCCACCGTGGTTAACCCTGGGCTGCCGTCTCTCCATTCACTTCATGGTAGGCCTCTCGCTGTGTGCCTCTGTCACTACCCTCCTCACTTTACCTCCTTAACACCTGATGTGGATTCCCAAGGTCAATCCATCTTTACACAGTACCCTGCCCAGCTCAAATACAGTAGTGCTCTAGTCAAATTTTATATAAGTTGGCTCAAACAGCAGGGTAAAAACTGAGAAATTCCTACATCATGTACCACCAGAAGGAGGATAAGTTATATTCCATTTTGTATGATGTGTCAAAATGCATTCTACTGTCACATCTAAGGAATGTGAACAAATTTTAGAAAGATACTTCTTTTAAAAAGATACTTTATCATCAGATAAAAAAAAAAAAAAGATCTTCTGTTCTTCTTAGCATTTTTTTTTTTTTTTGGTTATTTTCTTAGTTGTGGACACAACCTTTGTTTTATTTTATTTTTATGTGGTGCTGAGGTTTGAACTCAGTGCCTCACATGTGCTAGGCAATTGCTCCACCACTGAGCTACACTCTTCCCACAGCATTCTTATAAAAGAGACAAAAAGCCAGTTGCTCCACTTAGGTGTGAATGCTGAAGTAAATATAGAAAGACAGCTAGGTGGGTGGACATTGCTCTCCAGCTTATCAAACCCCCCCGCCCCGCCCATCCTCTCTACCTCTCCTGGCCTAACCCTCAGACCCTTTGGAATCTAATCTGCATCCTCGAAAAGAGTGTGTTTTCCTCTTTGTTTTATGCCAAGATTTTTTTTTTTTTTTTGCTGTCTACATCGAGAAGCAAAGGGTTAATCTACCTATAAAAATTAGTTTTATCTAATTAAGACATGATTTCTAGAAATTGGCCCAAATTAGCCACAGTTGTGGGAAAGCCACATAATTAGATAGTTATCTTCCTCAAAAATATAAATATGTAAAGTGATCTGTGCAGACAAGAACTATTTAAAATCTTGTCTCAAAGTACTAATTATATAGATAATTTTATTTGCATATTAATTATATGTGTTACTTGGTGTCAGTCAGTAACAGAAGAGGGTTCTAAGAACAGAAACATCTGGTTGGACTCAGGCACTGGGCTGAATAAAACCATATTAAGAGGCTGGTTTGACACAATGATTTACTTAGACACCCTTCATTAGACAGTGCATATAAACCACTATTTAGTTTAAAGCATCTGTGTGTGATATTTTTTTAATTTTCAGAAAATTAAATTACTAAGCCAGATCTGATTTTAAAGTAGCATGCTTACTTCCTTTTTATTTACACTTTTACAAAGTCATAAAAGGCCAAGTCCAAAAGCTAAATAATATGCATATACACACAGACCCAAACAGACTGGCGAACAAATGTTGGACAGAAAGCACATCCATTGGACTGCGCCTCGGGGCAGGCACCATGTTTAGATGAAGCAGTTAAAAATCCTAGTGTTTCTACTAATTTTTTACATGTAGGTAGTTGATCTTTAATATATGGTCTTTTCTGTGGTCAAAAGTCAAAATTAGAAAAGTTGTTAATGAAAGATAATTTAGAAAAAACACTATTAATATAAAAATAAAACTCAAATGGTAAGATCACAGGAGATTATATGGGAAATGTAATTGACATATAGCCCAAACTGAAACAGTGCTAATTACCTAATAATGCTGAGCCAGACCCAAGTTCATGTAAGTATATACATGGTCCTATCAAATAAGTGAATCATCCTAATGATTTATCTACTGTGTCTTTCCATTCATTTTTTTTCTGTTCCACTTTTACATAATATTTGCCCAAGAGCAGAACATGTATGTAAGGCCTCCTCCAAACGCTGAAAAGGTATTGGTGGAAGTGAAACCCTCAAAATGTAATAGGTAGAAAACGGATTTTGAAGCAGGGCTGTCTGTGCCATTCAAACCAGAGGTATTTAACACTGCAATTTATCTACTTCTCCCCACCTCATTTACCTCATTCATAAAATGGAGCTCATGAAACCTATTTCAGAGGGCTTTCACAAAGATTGACAGGGACCATAAAATCCCTCTATAATGCAGGTAGAGATAAGATCACTTATGCAGGGGCTTATATGAGTGTGTGTAACACACACATGCACCACATACACACCACCCACAACAAACATACAGGGAGACAGGGGATAACTAGAGGCTCACACCAGATGTTGGCTTCCCTCCTGGTGAATAAATCAGTGCCTTAAAATTTATTATCCAACACATGGTATGCCTCAGATGTTTGGGAAATCCGTATCTGTAAGTGTGGAGTTTGATGCCTGGTAACCCAATGAGGGAGCTACCAAATCAGATTTTGAGGAAACCTAAACCCATACTTTTTGAACAGCTCCTGTCTTGTGGGCATCAGGGGACTCCAGACCAGCTGTACAAGACACCCTAACATTGGCTCTGCCTCATGAAGCACCTTCTCCACTGTGCACGTGCACACACACACACACACACACCCCAGGGCCCATGGCAGTTGCCCACCCCGCCCCACAGTCCTCCAGACCTGCTTTGATACTCTCTAAAAGCATCTTGCTTCTTCTCCAAACCTCTTACCTGCCCCCTGACCTTGGGGGACAGACCTCCACAGGGCTGGTTGACTGGGCACACCCTGCACAGGCCTCTGAAGACGGAGGAGAACCCAGATCTGCTGCACAGAGGTTCCAGCTAGGGCAGTGACGTCAGAAGTCAGGTTCAAAACCAGACTCCTGTATTTCCATAGCTGTGACAATTCTGGAAACAGACTTGACCTCCAGAAAGATGGGAGTGACAATGGAATTCAATGACCATTGTTGACACCGTTGTGGTGAAAAAATGTAAATGCAGAGCTGAGCAGAGTTCCCAGTACATAAAAAAGACTCAGTAAACATCAGTCACTAGGATTATTAAATCCTCAGTGATACGTATTAATCCTGTCACCTACATTTAAGAATTTTTTTAAACAAAATAGGCCAATGTTGAGATACTAAAATAATATCTGGGAGAAAGGAATTTGGTTTCATCTGCTTAAGCCTGGCTGCCGGATAGTGGAAGGGCTCATGAAAATAACATCTGGCCCTAGTTCCTCATTTCCAGCCTTAGGCTTAATTTCCAGTCCCTATCAGCTACAATCTGGCACCATTCCGAAGTCCTCATGCAGCTGCATTTGTGGGAAGGTCGTATGTTAGCTCACATGATTTTCTGTTTTGCTGCTGTTCTCACAAGAGCTAAATTGATATGTGTAAGTCTAAAAATATTCTTAGATACAAGCTTTCTTGTGACTAATTAATACTGCCTTGTGTTATGAATCAGCCTCTGGGATCACAACATTTCTCTCTCACCTGATTCCTCCACTTCAATTATGCAAGTGGAGCACAAGCTATATACTCTCTTCATAGCTTAAAGCAACTAATTATATCTGTAGTGACCACCTGAAATAGAATGTCAAACTTCCTCCAGCTTCAGGTGAGCTTTAGTGCAACATGCCCCACCTGGGTTCAGGATTGTGGTCAACACATGTACTGCCTCAGAAATCCCAGATTCATAAGTCAAAAGCAAAGCACACAGAGAGTTAGAGATAATGTGCATAATAATGTGCTTGTCAGTGCTGTTAATGGGAATCAATATTCATGAGCAGTACTTGGTCCCATGTGCTAAATAAACTCTAATTAGGGGTAGACCACATTTGTGTTCCGCATCAGAACCCAGATCCGTCAGTCAATCTGCAGGAAGAAACTAGGCAGAGAGCAGCTCTGCAGTGTCACAGGCTATTACAAGAAACTGAAGAAATCAGAGTCAGACAACCACATACCATCAACTAACTCTGGGTTAAAGATGTTCTCATTCTGGAAAGTGGTTGTCAATTTTTTGACTCGGCCCCACTATTCTGAGACTCCCTAGAAACCTGGGGCAGGCCAAGCACTTCTCAGATTTCTCTTCATTCTGTCCTCATCACAGTCCTGGGTGGTCTTTTGTGTACTCAAGTAAAAGTGAGAAAACTGAAGGTCAGAGAAATTCTTAAAGATCCCATTAAGCATCAAGTAGCAGAACTGTGGCTGGAACTCAAGAACGCTGACCGTAGTTCTCAGCTTCCTCAATTAGATAAATGACTAGATGACTAAATTACAGGAGCAAATGCTAAAAAAAACAAACAAAAAAAAAAAAGTAGCTTCCTGCATCCAGGACTCACTGCTAACAAAAGAACAGACACATGCATTTCATTACCAAAAGCAGGGCAATAGCTGTATTTATATGGAATCAGAGAGAAGTGAGAGAATCCAAATAAGGAAATTGTTTGGACACATACAACCTCAAAAATCCTTTTTTAACCCGGATGCAGTGGTACACATCTGTAATCCCAGTAGCTTGGAAGTCTGAGACAGAAGGATGGTGAATTCAAAGCCAGCCTGAGCAACTTAGCAAGTCACTTAGCAACTCAGCAAGACCTTATCTCTAAATAAAATATTGAAAAAGGGCTGGGGATGTGGCTCAGTGGTTAAGTGACCCTGAGTTCAATCCCTAGTACCAAAAAAAAAAAAAAAGAAGAAATCCTTTTTTAAAAAATTTTCTTTAAAATATTTCCATCATAATACATAGTTCTCTATACTGTAAGATAGATATTTTGAATATAGTTTACCTTGTCTGGTAAAGAATTATAATTGTAAATGTGAATTTTCATGCTGTTGTAAGAAAGTGACATCCTTAAGAGATACAGAAACTGCCAAAGTGTGTGGGGTCATTTGGACAGAATCAAGGGACCACTTACTCTTGTGTTCACTAAATACTTCTGTTATAGGTGGTTTTACTCTCCTTTTCTTCTGTGGTCTATCACCTACTGATATCAGCGTGCTTCCTCTCAGCAAACCATTTTCCCAGATCCAGTAATTCACTGTAGGCTCAATAAAGCTTCTTAGAACTATGTGTAAAGGAAGAGGACCAAGGCTCTTGGGAGGGTGTTTGTAAACTTCCTGTGATTGCAACATAATATTCAAAATCTCAAGGAATATGGTCATAGTCATCAATGCAACCTTACCTCAGTGGACAATAATAGATCATATAAATAAATTTTGCCATATTAATCTCGAGTGGCATTCAATAGCATACTACACGGTAAAAAAAAGTTTTCCTGCTGAAACAGTGAAAAAGGCATGCCCTTTCTCATTACCGTTCTTTTCATTGTTTAAAGGGTTTAGCCAATGCAATAAAGCAAGGGGGAAGAAGGAATAGTAATTGGAAAAAATAGAAATTTTAATTATTTTCAGAAAAAATAACTGCACAGAAAACCCTGAAGATACAACTAAAATTTTTTTAAAGTAAAAAGACATTTTTAAGCCAATAAAGTAGCTAACAGGTATTAGCAAAGCAATTTATGTTTTTAAGTATGAATAATAACCAACTCAAAAATGCATTCAGGAATAATACACTCATAAGACTAATTTAAAAATATATGAATAAGCAATCAAAATATACAATATTTTACTCAAGAAACAAAAAAATATATATTAGGGTCTGATATTAATAATAAAATTCTTCCAAATTTATTCACAATTTGATAATAAATTCTATCAAAAGTTTATTTTTCTGATGATTCTAGTATTTTCCAAAATGATTCTAACAAAACATTTATTAAAGGCAAAACTATTGAAAAGAAGAACAAGGAAACCCTTTATCCAATATTAAATCATACTATATTTACATATGGCTTGTTATTACATAAGAGCTGGAAAACAGAATCGTGGATCTAAATAGAATATCCCAAAATGGACAAAACACATAAAAATATGCATTGTATATGATGAAGGTGATATTTTTGAAATATAAATCTTGAAGTCAAGTATTTCGGGTCCAAATTCCCAACTAACTCCAACACATCCAAATTGCAAGTATGTAACTTTCTAAGCAATAATTTCCCTATCTATAAGATGTGATAATATTGACAAGATTAAATAAAATCATGTATATAAAGCAGCAACTGACTCCTATTAAACAGATGCATGTCTGAGTCCCAGAGGAAATGTAAGGTAGAGAGTCGGTGTTTGTCTGGAGTTGATGGGAGAGGTCAGACCTGCAGATTCAAGCACAGCTGAACATCAGGCAACCCTTAGAGGGGAGGGCCTCCATGAGAGGAGGCTATAAGACTCAGCAAGAGATGAAAACCAGAAGGTGGAGGTGTAAGCCTCTGACCTCCAATATTAGCCTCCTAGGGATTTTGCCTGCGTCTTTTTTCAGCCCCTCCAAACCGGCGTAGCCATTTAAAAGCTTCACCAGTACAGGAAAGTTGCTTAAACACTTTGTGCCTCAGTTTCCTCGTCAGTGAGATGAAGATCATGATCTCATGTGAAGAAGTGTACATAAGGAGTTTAGATCAATACTTGGCACCTGGCAAGTGCTAAGAACCTGGTTACTAACATCATCATTGTAATTGACCTTCAAGTTTCCCCAGCTCTCCCAGTGTGAATTAATAAGGGGTGGTCCAGAGATGTGTACATAAAACATTATTGCTACCTGTGCTGTGTGTATGTAAATGTGTGGGTGCTTTAGAGACAGACAGGGAATATAGTAACAGGATAATATGAGCCACATTGTGTAATTCTAAATATTTTAGTAGCCATTTAAAAAGTAAAAAGCAATACATATAATTAATTTTAGCAATATATCTATTTAACCAAATACACCCAAAATATTACTATGTCAATATTTTATCAATATAACACTTATGAGATATTTTCCATAGTTTTTATACTAATTCTTCAAAATCCAATATATACTTGACATGTGCCCCATTTTAAGTGCTCCATAGCCACCTGTGACTAGAGATTATCATTGGATAGACAGCTCTAGATAAAGAGGGAGATCAGAAGTTAGACACATGTCCAAAAGGAGGTGGCTAGAAAAGAAAATGGGCAAGCTTGATTAAAGATAGAGAAGGAAGAGAGATTTTCTGCAAATAAAAGATAACTATGTTTATCTTTCTCATGATAAAATGTGTATTTTATCACCCCCTATCTACCAGAATCCTGATTGATAATCTACAAGAAGAAATCGAGAAACAGTTTGATGTTAAAGAAGCTATCCCAGGCAGGCACAGTTATGCCAAATACAATAACTGGGACAAGGTACAGTGCAAAATGCCTATTATTTTTTTTGGTGGTGGTTGGCGGGGGGGTTCCCGGGAATTGAACTCAAGGGAACTTGACCACTGAGCCACATCCCCAGCCTGATTTGTTTTGTTTTGTTTTGTTTTTATTTAGAGACAGGGTCTCATTGGGTTGCTTAGCGCCTCACTTTTGCTGAGACTGGCTTTGAACTCGCAATCCTCAAGTCTCAGCGACCCAAGCCGCTGGGAGCCCCTGGGATTACAGGCGTGTGCCACCGCACTCAGCCCCATTATTTTTAAAAAGGTGACTTAGGTCTGAGATCGTGGCTCAGTGGTAGAGTTCTTGCCTCACATGTGTGAGGCACTAGCTTTGATTCTCAGCACTGCATATAAATAAAAGAGTAAAATAAAGGTCCATTAACAACTTAAAAATTTATTTTAAAAAAGTGATCTTTATCATTCATTTTCATATAGTTTTCCTTTACTCTAATTCCTCAATACTGATTTTGCTCCTAAGATTGTAGCCTGGACTGAAAAAATGGTGGATAAACATCCTGAAATGGTCTCTCGTATTAAAATCGGATCTACTTTTGAAGATAATCCGCTGTACATTCTCAAGGTAAAAATAATTCAAAAACCACCAATTCTTATTGTTATTGAAAAACTTAAATTTAAATGTTACTTCATGACATACCTGGGCCAACTGTGAGACAGCAAAATCTGACCTTCTGAAGAATATCTAAACTCTAGACATCAAATCAAGAATAGACGTTCACAAGTGGTTTTTGATGAAGCAGGAAAGTACCTGAATAAATTGTCAGAGGCTGCAGAGTGGACAAACCCAGACAACACCTCAATCCACAGTTTCCTTACAGGAGTGTGTGATGCTCCTGGTATTTCCACTCCTTTCCACCCACTAAAACTCAATGAAACTGATCAGTGAATGTCTTAAAGAGAAATTTAAGTATCAGACACCGACAGAACCCTAGAACAGTACATGAGGCATTCCAACTCATGTTGGTGAGGCATTTCCCTCTGTAACAGGGCTGATAATTGTCACTTGGTACTACTGGACTTCTGCACACTCAAAGGTACCGCTTCCAGAAGCATCCCCTCCATAACTAGGAAGGCCATCCTTACCCTGACTGCCGTTCAGTGTCTCCAACCACCCAAAACATTTAAAATGACAGACCATCAAGTATGAGGCCCTGTTCTTCCTCCTCATTCCAAACACAACACAAAATCTCTCCACTCCTGGTGAAACACTCCCAGTTTATAAAAAACAGAAAAATAAAAGGAAACAGAAGTAACTTTATAATCTACATCTCAAACATAGAATGTTAGCAATGGAATAAGAAAAATAATAGATTAAGTTTTTTGTAAATAAAAAACTAAAAGCAACTCTGACACGAGGAAAATTTTTTTAAAATACAAGGTAACAGCTTGTGAATTACACATAGACATTTAAGGATATGTGCCACGGTCTTCCCTGAGAACTACGTGCAAACACAGCTCCCATCCACCAACAGGGGAAAGAATTGCCCTGAGGATATGAGTGAGGTTTTGGATGACAGGGGATCAGTGTGTGAGTTCAGGTAAAATAGCATCTCAAGTTCATTTTTCAATAGATTGGGAAAAAAGATGAAAGAAGAAAGTCTATCTTCATGGACTGCGGCATTCATGCACAAGAATGGATCTCCCCAGCATTCTGTCAGTGGTTTGTCTATCAGGTGAGTGCCTGGGGCACACTCACAGTTCCCCTTTGAGGGTCTAGTCGCTGCATTTTACTGAGTGGCGACTCACCCTTTCCAGAGGACAGCAATTGCAGTCACCTGGAAGAGACTACACTTGGTGCTTCCAGGTTGAAACACTCTAGATTTTATTCATCATCACAGTTTTTATAAACCTGACCCCTTCTTTCAAACTTCTTGAACCCCACCTGAAAGTTTAGGAAACTAAAAGAAACACCTTTATTTGGGGCTATAATATGAAAGTTTTTTCTGTAGTTATTTCCCCTATATAAGTATGGGAAATCTAAAACCACTCTCTTATTATACCCTTCAGATTTTTTTCTCCAGTAAGCTCAAAATATAGTTCTTTGGTTTCAGTTAGCTATCTCACTGGCCATGCATGAACTTGATATTTTCATACTTATATTCTCTTTCCAAGTGAAAAAAAGAGCTCATTTTTAAAAGATAAATCCAGTTTTATATGTTTTTTTTATTCCGATTACTCAACTGCTGATATATTCTGACTCTTGCCATCTTTAAACTTTCTCTTTCAACAAACTTCTGCACAGAACACATTGACAGAGATTGTCTGGCCATGAACATATTTACTAGGAAGGAATCTGCCATAGAACTGACCTCTCCCTGTAACTGTCCCTGCTGAGGACCTAGAATGCCCCCTTGCTCAATCCACAAGGGAACACGCATCATAGGACCACAACAAGCCTTGTACATAACTCCCAAGAGAGGCACCTTGGAGAGTTTTTCCAACAATACTGAGAGAGATCTGTTGTAGCCCAGAAAACCCAGATAATTAGAGAAATTTCAGTCAGATATGAGAAAAATGTTGATTGGTCAATCTCTAAATTCTTGGAATTTTTATTAATAATATTTTTTTGACTGGGGGGTGTAGCTCAGGGGTACAGCATGTGCCAAGCATGCAAAAGGCCCTGGATTCAATCCCAGCCCTAAAGAAAAAAATTTTTTTTCTTTAATCCAATTTGTAACTGTTTTATATATCTTCTCCAATATGTCCATACTCCAGTGCCTACACACCCGATCTAGATTTACGTAAAGGATAAGTTGTACCACTAAAGTAAGTTGTACTACAAATTTCCCATTTGGCCTTCTGTAAAATGTACCTTAAATACTATATTTGGAATGCTTCAAGTCTGAATAGCTGAGCCTTTGGAGAATTTTCATTTCAATTAATCTCACTAGTCTAAATTGGGCTATTTTCTGTAATCTGTGCAGTTTCTGGAAAAAAAATATGTTTGAAATCATTTGACCTTGGGCAAATGACTCAAGGAAAGATAGCTAATACTAGAACCACAACTTTCCTCCTGGTAGCTAAATTTCACACCAGTAGCCTAATTTTAATTTTTTTTTCCTGCTATTCCTACAGGCAGCAAAAAGTTATGGAAAAAACAAAATTATGACCAAAATCTTGGACCGAATGAATTTTTATGTTCTTCCTGTGTTCAATGTGGATGGATATATTTGGTCATGGACACAGGTAGTGCTTTGTTCTCTCTTATGACTACACATAAATGATACATTGTTCACTGGCTTTCATGTACATTCATTGATGGCTATGCCATAAGTTTAAGGTTTGGGTAGCTTGATATTTCCAATTCAGAAAAGTTTATATTTTCAATTTCAGATTAAGTCAACTATGACTTCCTGGTTGCATAGATGTCCTTGAAGTTTGAAATTTTTGTTGCTAAAGCTAATGGCATGAAAAAATGAAATAAAGCAGTTATTATAAAGGAAGTGCATGATTACATGCTATGCCAAAAGCAGATTCTATCTAAAATAAAAGCTATGGAAAGATTTTAATGAACACATTGATTCCAAAGCTAAAGGCACTCTGGGATGGAATTGAGATAAAATAATAATTTTTAAATAAATAATAAAAAGGAGATACAAGTACCTGTATATCCATCTTTTAACAGGATATTTTATTGACCTGCCATTGCTAAAAGTGATTAATACTGAACTTTCAAACATACAATCACATTAAGTTCTTTTCTGAAAATTATGGTCTAATGGTCACAATTTGACTTGTCTTTTATCCAAATCTACAAATAGTAAAAGATGGAATAAAATTATCATTTAGATTATAGGCAATTCCAAAGCAACAATGATTATTTTCCAATATTGATAACTAATCAACAGTTTATAAACTAACTGAATTATTTCATCAAGGCCTAAGAAATGTTAGTATTAAAAATCATGTTTTTTAAAATATTAGAAATTTTTTTTTAAATAATATTCTTCTAGTCATAAAGGGACTCACATTAACTAGATAATTTCAAATAAAGCTGTAGACACCTACAGAGAGAATATGAGATGATCAAGTTGAAAAGTCTGAAGTGATCTCGGTAACACGTCCACTATTCAATCCCACAGGACCGCATGTGGAAAAAAAATCGTTCCAAGAACCACAACTCCAAGTGCGTGGGCACTGACCTCAACAGGAATTTTAATGTGTCTTGGCATTGTGAGTAGTCTTAAGGAAAATCACTTGAGCGTTTAGTCGCTGAACTGAACTGAGCCATGTACTTTTTTCAGTAATAGGAATTCCTGTGCACTAATTTTCTTATCTACTAACTGCAACATAATCGTCACTGTCACTGCTGTACAGGGATCAGGAAAGTCTTTCTGTGGGAGGAAGTAGGGAGAAGACTGTTCACCAAACCGCCTCTTACTGAGTAGCTAGCTTGCTTCAAAACCAAGCACTATCCAGAGGTATAAGACTCCAGAGGATCCCTCCACTTCCCCTCCCCTTCCTGCTCTGGTAAAAGTTGAGAAATACCAGTCATTAAAACCAACAATCAAGTCATTCTTCAAATACTTAGTGGAAAGAAACATCTGGGACAAAAAAATTTTTAAACTCTGACACTAGGAAAATTTTTTAAAAATGCAAGGTAACAGCTTGTGAATTACACATAGACATTTGATGGAAATGAGGTGATAAGCAGAGGCAGCTGCATCCAATACAGCATGCGGGGGCACAACTGGGACTTATCACTAGGACTTTCAGGAGAAGTTAAGATTGCTCCAATTTATGTGTTTCTTCTTTGCCTAATTTGCTTAAAAACATCACCTTAGCTTTTAACTCTGTTCTGCCATAATGAATATAATAATCGCAGCAGTGACCACTGATTGAGAACTTCCTACTGAAATACGGCTGGGGACAGTCAGGCTGAGAGAAGGCAGGTTACAGCAGGTCCCTAGGAGATAGAGCTGGAGTTGAGCTGGAACCAGGGTCTCTCTGGCTCTAGGAACTGGGACACTCCTGATGTGTTTTCCCATAGCCCAGGGAAAGGAAGAGGAAGTAAACATGGCTGATATTGCAGTGGACCAAGTCTGTTACGATAGGACAAAGTTAGCATGCCATGACACAGGAGGCAGGCACCATGGGACAGGAGACCTTGAGGCAGCCCTGTAAACAGGGGAGACCAAAGAACTTAAAACATTTTGGGAGCCCACATCAGACAGGCAGGCTGTCCTGATGAAGAGTGGATGGTGATCTTGTCCACCCGTGTCCCTTGCAGCTTCTCCTAACACCGATGACCCATGTCAGGACACCTATCGGGGCCCTGCTCCAGAGTCGGAGAAAGAGACAAAAGCTGTTGCTGACTTCATTCGAAGCCACCTGAAATCAATCAGGGCCTACATCTCCTTCCATTCCTACTCCCAGATGCTACTGTTTCCCTACGGCTACACGTTAAAGCTGCCACCCAACCACGAGGACCTGGTAGGTAGAGAACAATCTGTGGTTTATCCGGGGGCACCACCACTGACTTTCAGTCTGTTCTTCATTAACTTGGGTTATGCTGAAGGAACTTCACAATTCAACACCTAGGACACAAACTAATGAAGTTTGCTGGGGATTTGAAATGATGATCTTTAATTTCTAATCTGATAAAAGTATATAGATAATAACGTCTTTTAATGTGATTCTAAGGGGAAAAAAAAGAAAAGAAAAATAAGTGTTTGGCTTCTAGAGCAGATTTCTACCACTATATAGTTCAGTATTTACCATGGGCCATTCTATAAAACCACACAGCCATAGCCCAATAGCTCTGTTTCCCAGGTACCATATTTAAGGAGATCTGTTGTATTTCTATCCTACCAATCAAATTAGAAATTATATTAACTTTCTATCTAAAGAAAGAACATCCTGAATGTTGTGAAGCTTTGTCACTAGGAATACTCTCTTTCCTAAAGTGTGATCTCTTGAACCTGTTATTTGTCTTTCCATGAAAGCTGATTTGATCATGTCTGCCTGTGAGTTTCAGTGAATCACAGGAACTGACAAGGTAAATGGTTGGATAGGTAGATAAATACCTTGAATTGCTATAGAAGAAAGAAATAAAGTTGATAAGGATCAGTGCCCTGGTTCCCTCTGTGGTTAGCAAATATAACACATTCAGTAAAATATGTGGTTCAAATGCTGCCTCATACAGTTCATTTAGAAATAAAAAAGAGGTTTCAATTTTCCTTTTGACCTCAGTCAACTATATTCAGAACTCTAGCATTATATTTAAGAAAATTATGTTAGGAATAAAAAGTATATATGTATATGCACAACAGTGACTGTTTATTTTAAGCAAAAGTTCTTAACACAACAAACTAGTTAATCGTTGATCTATTTCTTAGTTATATGTAGACTTACAAAAATCTTCATTTAGAGTACAAATATGTGAGTGACTATATTCCATTAAAGTTCATTCCAACAATCATTCTTATAACACAAAACACATGTTTATTAAAGATCATGATATGCCACTCTGGAGGTGAAACCCTAATTTAATAGAACTACTTTAAAGATGAGTCAACAACCCTTCCTCCCTGGGCAAAATTAAGTCAGATGAGTGGAAAAAGTCCCATAGCAGTGTGTGTGAGAGAACAAGACTGCATTCTATAAAAGAAAGGGAAGGCAGAGACAGAAGAAAGACAAAAACTCAAAATTAGATACAGTGTCACTGTCTATAATTGATTTCATATTTAGAAGTCCTGGTTATGACAACATACCTGAATGAGAATAAGTCATTTAATCATTTATTTTGATCTTCAAATGCCAAACAACCTTTAAAACTGATTTTTGAATCCCTAGAAAATTAGTGGTATTTACATAGTTCTCTATTATTCCTTTCTAACTTTTCTTTCTCTCCAGGCCAAAGTTGCTAGGATTGGCACTGATGTTCTATCAACTCGATATGAAACCCAGTACATTTATGGCCCAATAGCATCGACAGCTTGTAAGTTTTTCTTATCACTTACTGTGACTTTTTCCTAACTTTTTTTTATAAATACAAAAGAAAATTATCAAACTTATAAATTGGGACTAGGAATCTGGAGTTACTCATTTGAACTCCAATTTTCACAGGAGATTCTGAATTACGTGTGAATCTAAGAGCTAGATTATGCCTGTTTGGGGGGGAAAAGATTTTCCTGACACAGACAATATGAACTTGTTGAACTTTTACAAGGTTATGAGGTTGACAGAAATGACTAAGTGAATACAAATTCACAGCTTAATTTAATCCATCCACCTTCCTGTTCTTTTTTAACTATTTAATTTTAACCAGACTCTTTCTTCCGTGGCATTATCTCCATGAAAGCACAATCTCTCCCCTAATTCCTAGTGGGAAAATGGGTGCACATTCAGTTTCAGCCATGTTTAACATGGAAAGCCAGTTACTTGTCCCTCCAACCTGCCCTTCTCATCAGGGTCAACTGGTACTTGTATGGTGGAATAGGAAAGTCTACCATGGTATCTAATTCTATTGCTCTTGTTTTATATTCTCAGCACCACCTCTTACTCTTCACTGTTTTTATAATTTCATTGTTTTTTGTGTTCTTGAATTGTTAACTTAGAATTCTTGGTCTAGATTATTTTTGTCACGTATTCCATACACAAGGAATTAGCAAACTTTTTCTGCAAAGGGCTAGTTAGTAGTCTTGGCTTTGCTAGCAGTGTGGCCTTTGCTGCAATTACTCAACTGGAGCATTTAGCTCAGAAGCAGCCACAGATGATAAGTTAACAAATGTGCATGACTATGTTCCCATAAAACCTCATTACCAAAGCAGGAGAATGACCATAATTTTCCAACCCTCATACTATACACTCAGTGCTATCTGTACCAGTTTATTGATATTTTCTTACAGATTAGCCCTGTGCTTAGCCTTTGGATTTCATGATCTCAATTAGTCTTCATGAATCCCTATGAAGTGAGCAGTACTATGTACCATTTCTAGAAATTGGCAAATCCAGGACACAATTCCAGGCTTTAGCAAAACCAAACCATCTTGACCACTGTGCATATTACTCTGCCATTTGGTTTTTGTAACTGAAATAACAGAGATTTTTATTTTCAAGCAACAAAATCAACAATAATTCATTTGATTTTCACCAAAGACCATTAATTCTGACCCTGGGAAGTGAGATAATTTCTTCTTTATAAAAACTTCTCACTGACCTTAGTTTGGGAAGACTTTAGTAAAGATTTCTTTTTCCTCCAAACCAAGTTCAAGATTTAGCTCTTACTATTTCGAAATTTTACAGAAAATTTCTCCAAAGACTAGTTACAAATCCCAAAGTTTTTAACCAAACTTTATTACTCAGAAGTAAGGACAATGCTTTCAATGTCCCCTCACACTCCTAACACACAGCCCAGAGCAGGGTATGGAACACTGCAGAATTTACTCCCATAATTCACGCAATGGGAGGGGTACCTGACTTATCCAAAAGCAATGAACATGGGCTGAGACCACAACACTGGACTTGGTGTAGCCTGCATCATTGCCCAGACCAATAGTAGCCAACTTCTTTAACATGAAGATGGTTTTTTTAAACTTTCAAACATTTCATGAGCATCACAACCACCACGAAACACATTCGTATTCATATTGTACTTTGAGAATCTGTGGATCAAAAAAAATAAATACATATATATGGAATCCTTGTCATAATGTCACCTGGCTACAGCTTACAACTATTTCCTTTACCCAAGCTAGGAGTATAAACATGGCAACTAATGATCTGTATTCTCAATAATTGCTGTGGAATTTTAAACTACGAGAGTCATCACATATCATTTGTAGAGTTTAATTGTTGGAAGTTCCTTTGCTAGAATTGGAAAAATGACCAAAAAAAAAAAAAAAGACAAGTCCTGTACCTAGAGAGCCTTCATCAGCAATCACCTATCAAATAGTCTTTGCTAAAGGGCTGAAGCAAAAGTGACACAATGAACCCCTCATCCAAAAAGATCCTGCTACCTCAAAGCCTATGCTGGGTATCATTGCACATGCACATGAACGACAACAAAAATAAATAAATAAAACACAGGTGATATATACCCAGCTACATGAGTAGACAGAAAGTGAGTGAGATAAAGAACAAGAAAGACTGGCACATCAGTTTAAGTGGCTGCCTACAAAGTAGAAACTGAGAAAGAGAAGGGCTAGGTAAGGCTCCCAGGGATCAGATAAGAGCCACTCCTCTGAGCAGGGAAGACATGCAGATGTTCCTGGGGCTAAGGAACAAGGGCTTCCAAATAGTAGCCAAGTTTGCAAAAGGCAATTAAAGCATCAAAGGATTATCTGTGTGCATGCATGCGCACGTGAAAGAGCTCTGGAGTCGGACATGGCATGGTGTCACCATTCCATCACAATCTCTCAGTGAACAAGAATTCTCAGGAGGCCTACCTAAAGCCCGGCATCTTTGAGCTTTGGGGGACAGGGGAGAGTGAAGACATAGTACCTGCTCTCAACGAAGTACCCTCCTGCCTGGAAGGAGCAGGCAGACAAGGGAGCAATGGCTCTGTGCCATCCTGTGTCCCTTTCAAAATGGGAGGATGGGGTCAAGAGGGATTGCTATCCTATACACCTGAGTAAAAGTGTCTTTTTAAAATTTATTATATTATACTAAAACAGTTTTTTCAGAAATTCAGATTTGGAAAGAATTGCCTCTTTCCTATAAGGCTGAAGCAGCTCAATAGATGTCCAAAATTTCTAGGAGTAACTGCTTTAATAAAGCATCTAATTGAATGTTAATCAAACATTCATGAGAAAGCAGAGAGTAGCAAAGCAGTTGACTTGGTAAGAATAGGAAATGAAAGCACCTCGTGATTGAAGTTTAGTCATTCCAGTGTCCTGATTGTCACTTAACAAGTCCCAGGATTTGGGAAACATCCACCTCTTGCCAGTATTTTCCTCTCTGATTTGATGAGGGCAGAAGAAAAGGACTTTGTAGACATGTTTCAAACCCAAAGCATGGAGAGATCTCTGGCCCTCAGAAGAAAAGAAATATTTGAACCTAAGAAGCAAATATATCACAGAAGTTAAAATGGCAAATGTTAGAACCCAGGGGGCAACTGAAGAAATGATGTAGTCCATGGTCCTCAAGCCTGACTTCCCATTAGAATCATCAGGGAGCTTTTAAATTGCTTGGGGGACCCAGAGAATCTGATTCCACCCATCTGGGGTGAAGCCTAGGCATTTGCATTTTTTTTAAGCTACACAAAACAATTCTAAGATGAAAGTAGGGTCAGGAAACACTGATCTAGGCTCAACCCTCCTTTAGAGTCTAAGAAACTGAATTATAGTAAGATTCCATCACTTCAGGGCAGAAGAAGAACAAAAATGAGCATTTCAGACAAGAGTGAAAATGTTATACCAACTATTCAGCCCCAAAACATCCATATTTAGATGGACCCATGTGTAAATAATGATGTTAAAAGATTGTGAAATGTCTGCATTGATATTAACATCATATCCAATCCTCCACCATCTTAGAAATAACTACATACAGTCCTTAGTGAGCACAAATAATTATTTGAATTAATAGGAACCAGCTAGCTTGCATCATTGGTAACATCTACCTGGGAGTCACATCATGAATTACAAAGCTGATTCCAAAGTGCCCTTCTTGCTGCTTTCTCCACGCACCAAATGCTAAATGTGCTCCTCCTTCTCAGCCAGCGCTCCTTTCCATATTCTATGCCATGCTACATTTTAAAAACAAGAAAGTTGAAACTCATAGACTAGGACACCCAATCTCTACTTCCTAAGAGACATTCAAACTGAGATGACATTGTGGGGCACCAGAAGGGCAGAAAAAATATTTTAATTTACACTCATATATCTCTGACTTCAGCTTTCACTTAAAATAGAATTTTCACTTAATTTTGCTATGTCAATGCAGGTCATCATATATAATGCATTTCAATAATACTTTGCAAAATTTTACAATTTTCTAGAAAATTCCATATCAAGTAGGCAATGGACACAGCACACATTAAGTCACCAGCATCATTCTATATGGATTCCTTTGCTTGGTACAGTTTCATTTTTATTTGTTTTGACTGCATTACAGTAAGTCCCTTGTTCCTAGTGTGTCCTTTGAAAGGAATAGGAAGCGATTTGTTTCCAAAAGTTGAGATGTTAAGAATGTATTGTTAATGCGTTAAGAATAAATTATCTTCTATAACTAATAGAAGACTTGATTGGCTATAGATTGGCACAAGGGAAGTAGTAAAACACAGTGATTAACAGCATGAACTCTGAAGACACATAGCCTAGTTTGAATCCTGATTCAAGCATCTATCAACTACGTCTTTCAGAAAGTTCCTTAAACCCTCTGTGCCTAAATTCCTCTTCTACAAAGTGGTACTTACATAATAAGTTAGTATAGGAATTAATTAAAATGATTTAACCATGCAGAAAGCACTTAGAAGGGTGCCTGATATTTAGAGAAGTGATAGTTATTATATTTTATAAATATATGCTATAACTTAATGAGTACACATGGAGCTAAATAAAAGACTATCATGTTCAGCAAATTACATTCTAGACTAATATATTCTTATGAGCAAAAAGCTTTCAATATTGCCTTTATTATATGCTTTAATATAGTTCTTGTTTTGTAAATTTGTCTAGAAGATGCACAAAGTGGCATCATAAAAGAAATGTATTATACTCTATAACATCACACAATTATGAAAAATCACAAATTACATATATTCTCAGTCACCACTGTTAATCTTAATGAGAAATTTCACACAAAGCAAAGCTCTGGAAATGGAATAGCCATATCCTCTCACCCTTTGAAATCACAGCAGTTCAATCAACTGCAAATGGAGAGCTGGCACAGCTAAACTCTGGCCAAGTTCATTGCACACTCTGAATTGCTACACCAGACACAATACCTCTTGACCTTACCTCCTTTCCTACTGAACTCTTCTTGTGCTTTCTTCCTAATGGATTTAAACCCAACTAGCTAAAAATACCAGCCTTCCAGAATCCTGGACATATTTCTCAGATCACTGCTCCATGATTCCCAGCGGCAAAATGACTTCCTGGATCCTTTTCCTGTCATTCCTCAGCTCCCTTAAAACTTTGCACTTGCCTGGTTCTCCTTCGCTTTTTCCTCTTTCTTCGCTGTCTCTGGTGACCACCTCTAAAATAGATGTTCTGACAAACAGGCACAAAGCACAGGTTTTTCCCAAGATTCTCCCTCCAGGTCCCTCCTCTTCCTTCTGACCCTTTCTCACCAGGAATCGCTCTCCATCCCATCCCTTCAGGGCATCATCCCCCATTTGCCACCTGAAGGCACCAGGTGACCCATCGCCATTGACAAGCATGGTATGAAATGTCATCTCCTCACCAAGCACCCTGTTTCTTCTTACAAATCTCTGTACGCCATTGTTCCTTTCGGGGTTTACTTGCATATAGACTGGGACCTTGACATCTCTCCCCTAATCTGTAACTTCATGAAGAATTTGGGGGGATAAAAGAGTCACAGAATTGGATCAAGTACTTTATACCACCCACCCTTTCTAGGGCCAAGTACCATGAATTGGACACATTAAACACTCAATAAATATTTATTGGCTGACTTAAGAGCCAACTCTCTCTGCCCACCAAGTATTCCTTTTCTCTTTCTTTCCTCTTCACGGTTTTGAAATTCTACCTTCCAAACCCAAATTATGTCCTAGAACATAATTTTACATACAAAAAATACATTTTACTACATAAAGCTAAATATACCTAACTGCATTTACAATATGTGTATGTACTTATGTTTATTATGTAACCTCTATGCGTGTGAGATAGATATATATATATATATATATATATATATATATATATATATATATATAACATCTAGATATACATGTTTTCAATATTCTACCAAATAATAACATCTTTCCTAAAACTAAACCTGATTTGGGAAAATGAATTATATTGTAAGCCTGACATGGGAAGTTTGAAATAAGGAATAAAATACCTACTTAAAAAAAAACAAATTTAAGCCTTCCTGGCCTTTTGACTATAAAATAGTTCACCCTAATAACATGGATATCGAGAGATTAAGCTCTTACAGAGCTGGTGTGTGAAGTTTCCTTGGTGGCTTTCAACCACCAGTGACGCACAGTGGATTTCCTCAGCTGCTTGTATTTGTTCAGAACACCGCTGACAGCAGCCAAGTGTACCCAGAAAATAAAGTCAATTTAGTACTGACCCAAACAAAATGTGACTTTCTAAAAGCAGCACATATCTAAACTGTGTAGTGAATTACAAACTCACGATTGTTTTACCATGCACTCTGTACTTTTCAGACCACGACTCTCATTCTTTACTGCAGTTAACTGTACACATAATTATTTTTTATTGCTAATTTTACACCAGTGATTTCCATTTCAAGAAAAAAAAAGCGTTAGCGTTTGACTCTAATTAAATATTTACTGCTTATGTTTTGCAGACCCGACATCAGGTTCGTCTTTAGACTGGGCTTACAGTCTGGGCATCAAACACACATTTGCCTTTGAGCTCCGTGATAAAGGCAGATTTGGTTTTCTCCTTCCAGAATCCCGGATAAAGTCAACCTGTAAAGAGACTATGCTGGCTGTCAAGTTTATTGCCAAGTACATCCTCAGGCATACTTCCTAAACAACTGCTCTCAGTTTAGAAAACACCAGTTAATCTCTGTGTGTGTGTGTGTGTGTGCACACACTCATGTTCTTTTGTCAGAAAATCACTCTTAGCTATGCCTAGATGCAGATTCACATCACCTGAGTCCATCTTTATTCACCCAAATCCTGCATTATTTCTTTTTGCTTTTATTGGCTCCCAGTAGCACCTTAATAAAATAGCTTTAACTGAAACTATCTAATCATCTTTCTTTGCTTTAAGGGAAGCGTGAACCAGAAAAGAGTATGATTTTGAGTATTTTTTAAAAGTAATATACAGTGAAACACAGAAAAGAAATTAAAACCTTCCCCAGAATCTGATTGTTACGGTGTGGCTTCATCATTTCATGTGCTAATAAGATTAAAATGAAATGCATTCTAATGCTTTAAAAATGCTGTTTTTGATAGACTGTTCTCTGCATTTCTCCAATAGCATTAATAGTCAAGATTAATGTTTCTTATTCAGCCTGTTAATAAGAAAGAATATCTTCATTTTTCAAAAACATAATTTGCCCACATATTTTTTTTCTGATAGAAGTAAACATTGTTTATAGAGATGAATCTCAGTGCTTTATACAACCAACCCAGTTCTCATCGCTATAACATATATTAAACTCAAAACAGTTTAATTTAACCTGCTGTAATCAGAGGAACAGAGGAAACCACATGCCAAAACATCTCTCAGCAGTGACAGACACAGCTATGGCCTTGCCCTCCTGATAGAAAGAGAGGAGACCAGGAGATGCATTAGGAGATAAGTAGTCTGGTCTACCACCAGCAATCACGGTAACTTGGTACCAGTGTTCAGTCTGTTAGCCTGTTGTTTAAGATGCTCTTCCAAAATACTTTTCCCCCAAATATTGATCCCTTAATATTCTCAACATTGACCCCTTATCAAAGGACAACAGTGGTGGTATCTACATTCTGGAAATTCAGAACACAAATGGCCCCCTCAGGCTGACCAGAATTTGAAGGACAGGAAGAGAGGACCTTGACTTCCCATAAACTTATTTTTCCAAACACTCTGACAATAGATTCTGAGGATCCTGAAAGGTCCTGAGAAATATACTCAACAAATAACCTGGAACATTCCTCATGAATCCTTTAGGCACTGCCAGAAGCATGGACATCATTAAATCTACAAGATAATGGCATTTCTGATAGTGAGGAGGTAGGCAAAACGTTCTCATGCAAATTTTTCTCATGCAAAATTGTCTAGAAAAAATAAATATAAAAAAAAAATTCATTACAGGTTGAGGAGGAAACAGTGACAGGAAAGTGAAAGACAAAATTTTGGCTGAGAGTATGTTGTCTCACAAAAAAATATAATACCTATACTTAAATATTTAGCATTCCAAACTGGTTTCAGAACATAGGAGTGTCAATTTATTCCCTTAAATATGCCATGTGGGAATTATAGACTCATTCACACTTTCTCAACTGAGAAAGGGTTTTTAACTCAGCTCTACCCCTAAATTCACATAAATATCTCTAATTCCAGTAGGATTTTAGATGGAGGAGGTGAGAGAGAATCCCAGTTGTTGAAGATGTCCTATGTCCATCCAGTATTGTTTATAAAAGACACAAAAGTTTTACACACAACTTATTTGAGCTATTATTCAGTTTGATATTTCTTTTCTTAGGAAAAAAAAAAATTATCTGACTAGCTAAAAGTCAAAAATCCTAACAAGACCATTCTTTATCCTAATCAAATAGTTTTTTGAATGGCTATCTAGGGTATGTTTGCCTCTTTGACTTCATATGAAAATGAAAATAAATATGTGAAGGAAGACATCTGCATTAAAGTTTAAAAACTCAAGTTTCATTTTTATGAGAATGTTGGGCAATCTGTGCTGAGTCTTTCCATACACTTCCCCTTTATCAGGAAAAGGGCGTAGTGCTCAAGTTACAAGTTCTGCTATCTCTTATAATATTCTTGATAATATATCCTAATAAAAAAATCTTCTAAATAACCATTTCTTTTCCAATTTTCCTATTAAATTCACTTGAGGGGCATTTTTTTCATATTTTGAAAATTTGTTATTTGAGGGCAATGGTCTCGTGCTGAGATACACAACTCACTTCCATGAGGAAATTAACCATGGTATTAATTGTTTATACCATGCAATAAATGAACTTCCAGTGAGAAGCATGAGTCCAAACTGATTTTTAAATGTACTGTCAGAAGTTCCTCCTCATATCCCACACACCATTCTTTGACCACATAAATACTCATTGGCTAAGCGAACATTAGACTTCCGGAAGGGAGTTACTGTTTCTCATGGAACGCAAACCCCTATAGCTAATTTAAACAAAAAAGCAAAGATTTAATCTCCAGAGAAAGGTAGAAGGTGTTATAGAGAGCATGCAAGTTCTCTCAGTTTTCACGTTCTCCCTGGCCACCTTAGAAGTCTAAGTTATTTTGACATTCCAAATGGATGGATATTGGTCTCCCCTGGACAGGGGATAAGTCAAGGACAGATAACTCATCTTAATTCCACCATGTGGTTCTCACCACTATAAACTAGCAATTTATATTTAATATAGAAAATGTAAATGAGATTTCCTAGAGAAGACTATGCATTGGCCCCAAAAATCTACAATGTGGTGTTATAATATTAAATTAATGTCAAAGTATCCTGAATTCACGAATTATGAAGCAGCAGCAGTAAGTAATCTTGGTTGAACACTTATTTATCTGAGCATCTGTAAGAACCAATGGAGTCCATAAACCATACCTGACCACCTGGACCTTCACTACTGCATGGTATCCTCTAAAATCCATTCTTCCCTCTTTCCTTTCCCTCTTTCTTCACTCTATTCTCCCTTATAGGAGATCTCCCAACTTTGAACTAGACACATGGCCATCCAAATAAAATCTCCAAAACTTTCTTGCAAATCATAGCAGCCATTGTATTGTTCTGGCCTATGAGTTTTAAGAAGCATCATGTGTTACAGTCTAGGAGGCTCAGTTCAAAGACCTCTGGAACGCTCACTTGGGCCCTTCATCTTGTTCTCTTCTCTTTGGGCTATAATACAATTGTGATGGCTAATGGTTGTCCATCATTTTGGACCCTAAGTGATCTTGAGAATCAAAGCAAAGAAACTGTTAGGAGAAGCCTGGAACCATAGATCTTCACCAACTAGAGATGCTAATCAAGGTTTACACCACCTAGGACTTAAATGTGACAAATAAATAGTGGTTATAGGTAAAGTTTAGTGGTAGAGCATGCCCCTAATTTGAACAAGGCCCTGGGTTCAATTCTGAGCCCAGAAGAAGAAAGAGAAAGAGGAGAAAGGAAGGTCTTAATTAATCTACTGTTGATTTGAATCACTGTTGTTCCCAATGAAGCCTAATCCTAACTAATGCAACAGTCCAGGAACAATTGGGAAACCAGTTCCAGATGGAAACTTTTGGAGGATGCTATGGTGTTACGCAAAATCATGGGAGTAGAAACCAGGAGGTGGAGATTGGAATCCTGATTCTACCACTGAACAACAATCCAGCTACCATCACCTTTGCCTGCCAGACCCATCTATTAGGTTTTTGTTAGAATTTGAGGTAATAGATGCTTATCAAGTTAAGCTAATGATTTCCATATTATTTGTATTTGGGACAAAGTACAGGGTCTTGTAATGAACTGGCTCAGGTGGTTCCTTCTTGTGAAAGGATTGGGTGGTACCAAAACAATCAGAACAATCACTGCTCCCCTTGTGATTCTTCACCTGGCTGTGCTCTGACGGGATGTTGTGAACTATGCTGATGCTTATGTCATCTTTCCGCATAGAGTATCCATCAGATTCTTATATCAGGAGAGCTATTGAGGACCACAAGTTTAAACATAACTGAACACAAAACCCAACCTAATGAAAAACCATATTTTCACACATAAAAGTATGACAATGCCAACTCCAGTCCTTTTTAAAGTTTCTCATTGGCTTCCTTTTTGTTATTGAGCTTATTACTATTGGTTTCTTCTTTCCCTTTTTAATGATCTTCAGAAAAAAATATAAAAACTTCCATTTGGTGGATGGAAAATATAAAATATTTCCAATGATCAAAAACAGGAAAATCAAAAATCTTAAAATTTCAGAAAATCATTAACCTGCTGATTTGTTATGAAATTATGATCCTTGCCAAGGATGTGATTTTTTTAAATTGTGCACAGTACAGTACTGAAACTTTATGCAGATACCTCAAAAAATCAACACATTGAAATGGAAAAAGAAGCAATGTTCTCCCCCTTAGGAAAGAAAGAATCTACAAGGAATGATCTGAAGTTCAGATTACATCTGGTGACAGAGGATGTTTCCTTTTCATTCGACTGGTAATATGCAGAAAATTATGGGCAGAACTCAAATTAGGGGAAACAAATATACGAGCCCTTCCAAACCACAAGGTTTTATTGTGCAAAACCACATTAAAAGCAACATTTTCTACATAGTGAGGCTAATATGAATACAAAGCAAAATGTCAAAGATTCTCCTGTACTCATCTTTCTCCTTTTTACACAATTGTATTTCATGATTAAAATACCCAGCCATTTTTCTATAATGATTCATAATAGCATCTTGAAAATTTCGGCAGCACATAGGCTACTGTCAGAATTTTCTTAGGCAAAGCTTTTGGGAGATTCTCTTGCATTTCATTGTCACAAAATCCATTATACCAGGACAGATCTCAGCCCGCCTGAGTAATGTCTATCTGAGGGTTATAATTTTGTCATAAAAATTTGCTCTCACATGAACTTCGCATAAAAGGTCTCCGTCCAGAAAATAGGAATTGAAATGGATATATTATCACTTGAACTGCTTTTTTACTCACTTATCCTTCAATTACAAGCCTTAAGTTCACTGGTGTCAAGAGAGGTTAAACCAGAAAAATGTAAAACAATTTTTGAAATATGTGAGGGAAATTTGACACTTAATGTTCCAAATGCATTATTATTGCCATGGTATCCCTGAAGTGTGCTACTGATTCGTTTCACATTGTGGATTTAAAGGCATGTAAAAGACTATTCATGAAACAAAGAAAAAATCCATATGTATCATTTCATGCATAAAATAATTTTCAAGCGCTCTGGTTTCTTTTTTATTTAAAGATGCCAATATCATTTTTTTAATCTCTGTTTTGCAAAACTTAAATTTCAAGATGTAATTAAATTTTAATGGGGCAAACAA